CTGGGGATTGCAGGTGGGGAGGATAGGCCTCTGCTCTGCTTCCTCCCACCTCCTCATCTGGACCTAGACAGAGGGAGGCACAAAGATTAACCCCTCCGTCAATGGCTGCAGCCCTACTGTAGGTGGCACTTTCCTCATGCGGGCTCCCTGCCCTGCTGCCGTATCCAAAGAACATTAGAAAAACAATAACTCCTGTGTGGCCAGTCTTCCAGGGCAACTCAGGACAGCAGGGAAGTAGCTTGAGCGGCACCACTCCTGCTTTCTGGGTGCTCTTGCTTCTGAGCACCAGGCCCCGAGTACTGGTCCTGAGGATGTGGGCAGGGCCCTGCAGGCTGCACCCATGCCCTTTGCCATGGGTGCCCCTTGACCCACTGCCCAAAGCCAGGTCCTGTGTCCCTGCCTCCTCCTCCTCCCTCCCCACCGAGCTCAGACCTTGACCAGCAGAGGAAGCAGCAAGGTGGTGCCTCTTTTTTTCTGTATGGGACCCAACTGCAGGCCTTAACCCAGAAGTAGATGAATAGTAACCACCTCTAACATATTTAAGCATACATTTCAGCGGAGTCAACTTGCTTCCCCTTGTAAATGACAGACTGACAGATTGAAGCACACACTTCAGAGGAGTCAAGTCACTCTCCGTCTAGATGACATGTTACAGACAATGAAGGAGACCATCACAAATACAACAACAAAACATTTACACGATGCCCAAAGCACAAAACACTCATTCACCAAGTTTAAGTTACAGTGGGCAGCCAGCAACATCTTGTTCAGCTCCCTGGACACCAGGTTATAGGCTGCATCCAGCCCCCTAAGTGTCCTTCTGAGGGTGCCCCAGATTCTAACTTACCTCTGGAGGCTTCCAGAAACAGGTGACTTTCTTAAAAATCTTTTGGGGTGGGGATATCAAAAACCATTGGAACAGCAGGGAGGCAGAAACCCTGAGGCCTTTGAACATCCTAAGGGATACATCCCCTGGAAGTCTGCCCAGTCCCACACTTCTTCCCTGTTCCAGTTCCCCAGGGTCTGAGGTCTACTTCTCTGGGATCTCCAAAAATGTTTTGAGGTGCTTTGCCAGAAAAGACCACTCAGGCAAAGTTTTCCCGATTAAAAGTCTTTGCTGGCCAGCGATTACACAAGGATGTCAGAACTCAAGTGTACAGCCCCGAGCCATCTCTAGGGTAAACTTTTTATACAGAGAAACTATAACCAAGAGTGAAAAGTTTAAGTTCCCAAGGTTACAGGTAGAGAGCCCCCTTAATTTCTGTTCTATTAAGCAAATGCTATTTTGCAGAAGCAAGCCAAGCATAACCTACAGAAGTCATAAACCTGCAGTTAGAAGGTTCACTCCAAGACATGCTGAGCTATTCCCAAGATAACTAATGTCCTGCTGGCATATGTTCCCATGCCCTGGGCCAACTGTCTCATAATTTCAGAGACTGGAGTCGGCCTAAACTTTAAGATGGTGTAGCTGTGGTTAAGGAGGTGCCATATCACATGATAAAACACCACGGCCAAGGGAATTTATAGAAGGAAGAATTTATATGTATTGATTCTAAAGGGACAAGAGTCCAGTGGTGGGGAGACCTGGCAGCAGAGGTCACAGAAAGAGGAGCTCTCATATGGTCAAACAAGCACAGGAAGTAGAGAGTGCCTAGAAGTCCAGCAAAACTTAAGAACTCTCTAAGCTCAACCCCAGTGACATGTTTCCTCCAACATGGCCATACATCCTAAAACCTTCCAAAATAGTGCCACCAATTGTGGACAAAATGTCCAAATACTTGGGGCCTATTGGAGATATTCTCATTCAAACCACATCATTCCACTCCCTGACCCCCACAGACACATGACCATATAAAATGCAAAATGTATTTAGTTCATCCTTAAAAGTCCCCATAGGCTTTACCAGTATTAATACTATTCAAAAGTCCTGAGTCCAAAGTCTCTTCTGAGAGTCAAGGTCATCTCTTATTTGTAAGCCTCTGTAAAATCAAAAGACAAATTACATACTTTTAGCAAACAGTGGAACCAAATACACAATTCCCATTCCAAAAGGGAGGAATGGGTGTATACTGAGGAAATATTAGACCAAAACAAGACCAGAAACCAACAGGGCAAACGCCAAATCCCATAGCTCCTTGTACAACTTCCGAAACTTTCCTTCCAAAGGGCTTGGCCCTCCACCTTTGCTGTGTATGGCATACATCTGCCTTGTGGACTGGTACCACACTCCCTCTCATTGTAGCTCTCCTTGACAGATGTCTTAGAGCTCTAGCATCTCCAACCTCTTCTTCAGCTTCACAGCTTTACTCAGTGGCCTGTCCGGGCCTTTATGCAGTGATGCCTCTGCTCCATGCTGCCTAGCCTTGGCAACTCTCTGAAACTGCAGAAGAACTGATGGCCCCTTTACTCTTACATCTTTAATTTCTTTAAAGCCAGTACCAGGTGAACAACACTGCCAAGTTTGACTGCTGGCGTGGGATCTACCCTGCTGGCTTTGTCCACAATAGCAGCAGCTTTTCTATGCTATGGTTTTCTAGGAGTAGAAATCCCCTCCAGCATTTTCCTTTCACAAGTTGGAGGCTTAGTTGGGTGTGGTCTTGCCTGAAGGTACTCTTCCCATTGTTTAAGTGTAGATATTTAGGCCTCTCCTTAATCACTCTAATCTCCTTACAAGGAGAGCCACCCCTTCAGCACAGGCCTTGGATCCGTCTTTAATCTTCCTAGTACTCTTTTTCAATCCAAATTGTACAGTTTGCATTTCCTTCTGCCCCACTTGTTCATTTTCACTATAGATCTACATAATAAACCATTAGTAGCTGCTCCACCATTTGTACAAGGGGCTGATTTGAAATTTCCTCCTCCAGAGAAATATGTCCATTACTTTTCAACTTAGCTTCAGGCAAGGTCTTAGGCCATGAGCAGACTCCAGCCAGACTCTTTGCTAAAATATCCCAATTGTAGCTTAAATTCTTATTTCCCTCTAGATTTACATTGTTCTCAGCACTGCTTTCTTCCAGACTCCTACTAGAATGGTGCCTCTGCTTACAGCAATCAACTGCATTTCAAGCCCAAACTTCCAGTCTTCTACATTCTGCCAAAAACCCACATGGTCAAGTTTTTCACAGCCAACAGCTCACTCCCTGGTATCAACTTCTGTATTAGTTACTTTTCTGTTGCTGGGATAAAACACTGTGACCAAGGGAACTTAATAGAAGGAAGAGTTTATTTAGCTCATGATTCCAAAGGGGCAAGATTCCATCATAGGTAGAGAGGCAGCAAAAAGAACGGTGCTTACATCTTTAAGCAGCACAGGAAGCAGAACACAGCTGGAGATCTGGCAAAGCAAGAACTCTCTAAGCCTTTCCTCAGGGACATGCTTCCTCCCAAGCAGATGGGGCGATCATAACTCCTAAAACTGCCCATAACAGTGCTAACAATTTTGGACAAAATGTTGAAATACTTGGCACCTACTGGGGCCATTCTCATTCATACTACCACTTTGTCATTTGGTTTCTTGGTAGCCATTTTGACTGGGATGCTACTGTCAACCTTAGTCAATGAGCAGTGAGCAGAGGGAATGCAGACTTTTCAGCTGCTCAGTGTGCTGAGAAAAAGTAACAATTTAGTGCTCCAGCCTAAACAGGACATTTACACCTGTCTACCAAAGACTCAGAGAACATTTCAGAAGAAGGGCAGAAAGAAATGTAAGAGCCTAAAGATAGTGAGAAGGCCTATGAAATACTGTCTTCTGGGTATGACACAGCCTTGTAATCATGATCTCATAGCAACTGTATCTACCCCTACCAGGTCTATGGAACACTGTGCCTGTCATCAGTCATCACATACAGATCAAGGAAGAGCTCATGGGGCCCTTCCTTTCCTTGCTAAACTATTGGCTACTGGTGGAATCTGGGGGAGCGATAATCATTGTCTTCAGTTTTGTGACACCAGGATCCTAGAGCAATTTCAAAGCCATGGTCCTGCTTAAAGTGGGTCACAAAACAAAACAAAAAGATGTGATTATTAGAAAGGGACTTGTAAAAAGAGGTGTTGATGATTGGGAGATAAGAGAGTAACAAGATACTATATGCATGTATGGACTTGTCAAAGAGCAAATTTAATGAAAATTATTAAAAAAACGAATCTATAAAATTAATGATAAAGGGAAGGAGACAAGACAAATAGGATCTACGTTTTATGGGATTCTTATTTTTAAAGACTTCATTTACTGAGGTTATCCTTGCTCAGGCCACTGAGCTTTGCATCTTAGAGTTAAATTTGGTGTTATTTACATGGGGCATTAAGTAGATGCTGACACTAAATAGCTGTATGATATTGGCCAACTGTCAGTGTTTCCAAGCTTTTGTTTGTGTATCAGTAGACTCACAAAATTAATGCTGATAATATGCCATTGTTATGAAAATTAAATAAGATATTTGTAAAACTGTTTGGAGTATTTGCTGTACAGAGCCATTGGTTGATACGGCCCATTAATATTGGTAGCTGCGTTCATCAGTGTTTCCTTTGTCACCCTTCACTGGACTCAAAATCTTCATGAGTTTTCTTAAAACCTTTATCACTGCATCCTATACTCAGACACACCTGCACCTGTCACTGTAGCCGCTGGGACAGCCTGCACTGCTATCACTGCATCATATACTCAGACACACCTGCACCTGTCACTAGCTGCTGGGACAGCCTGCACTGCTTTCCTTGCTTTTGTCTCTTCCTATTTCATTCCTGCTTAGAGAGTACCAGGAAAATTTCCTAAGAATGTGGAAGTACGGCTACCCTCTGAGAGTTTGAAAAGTGGCATACACATGAGTGATGTGACTGTTCTTATTGTAAATGAAGATGATTAAGGTTATATAAGGCAAGATGTTCATAATTCTAAGTATGTCACTTGAGTTGCCCTTCAGAGACTGATTTAGAATGGTAAATTTATTGACATTTAAAAGGACATTGGCTCTAACTACGAATCTTCTCTTTTTGTTCTTCAGAATGCAGCTAGGATTGTCCGTGCTCTTTTTGAAATTGCACTGAGGAAACGTTGGCCTACCATGACCTACAGGCTCCTGAATCTTAGTAAAGTCATTGACAAGAGACTTTGGGGTTGGGCTAGCCCTTTGAGACAATTTTCTGTGTTACCACCACACATTCTAACAAGATTAGAAGAAAAAAACCTTACAATAGATAAGCTAAAAGACATGAGGAAAGATGAAATTGGTAAGAAGGATGCAATAATTCTTACATATATTTATCTGTATAGATAAAATGTTGTACTAGATATAAAAGTATTCTCACATTAATTAAGAGTAATAAATAAAATGTGAAAATAAATTAATGTGAAGTAAAAGTATTTTCACATTAACATAATTTTTACTATATTTATAAAACTTTTATACTTATTTAGACTAAATAAAAAATTGTTCTGAGTTTTATCAAATTGCTTGATTTACTAATTAAAATGAAGTTTTTGTTGTCAAACTCTTTTAAGTATTTTATAAATAGAATCAGCCATAAATGATGAGAGTCGTTCAGTGATGTTTATTCTCAATTAAATTCATCATTTATTTCAATAACGTGTCATATATATCAGTAATTTACATTTTAAAATTATGTATACTAGCTGGAGATATAACTGAATGGTAGAACGCTTGCCTAACGTGAGCAAAACCCTAAACTGGGTCCTCAGCACTACCAAAAATAAAATGAATTGAGAATTTGTGAACATTAAGTTATCCCATTCGCCAGAGTTTGTCAGTAATCTTAATTATACACATCAACATGTTTAAACTCAGTTAATATCACTGTGTACAGAGAATTTGTCCTCATTTTCCACATGATATTGATAAGTTTTACATGCATTCCCTTGAAATGTAAGATTTTATTACAAATATATGTAATGTATCTAGAAAATATTTTGAATCTGAATATGATCAATGTTATACCAGACTGTAGACAAATAAGAATTTCTGTTGTCAAGAATCCCTGTATTAGTAAAAAGAGACTGAGATTAGTGCTAATGGAAGAAGAATTTTCTTTTATGAGAGAATAGAAAAAGAAAAATATCAATAGAAAGAAACTGGGATTGTTAAGGGAATTTGAGAAAACAAAGAGTATATGGATAAGCAGTTTTTTTTCAAAATAAGGGATAACATGTTCAGAATAAAGTATTTTGATTTCTTTAATATGTTTTTGAAAAATTTTATGTTGAACAGCTGAGATCCATGAAACCCTGATGCTATAATCTGTTTTCCTGCTCAGACTAGTCACTCACATTTGTTTACAGTTACTTACATTTACTTTGTGACAACTTCTGCTTTCATACCTCCAGACATATCTGTGTTTTAGAACCTGATCATCACTGAAAATATGTATAAGTAGTTATTTTATTCTAGATTTACCACTTATATTTTCTCAATATTTTCAAATACAGGTGCTTCAGTGAATTGTATTTGATTTCTGAAGCATTTCCATCTTAATTGTATAGTCATGAAACAGACCACGAATAAATTAATGACTATTTTTACAAAATGCTGTGTAATTTTATACTATCACAAACTAAGTTAGAGAGAAGTGGTTCTATTTTAGTAGTTCAAACACTATCAAGTCTCAGCAATTTTCAGAGCCCTATTAATATCTAAAGAAACACTGATGCTGGTTTTCTAAGCTATGAATTGCTAATTCAAGTTAACTATTAAAAAATATTCAAACATGCCAGGTCAAGAATGTCAGCTATTCTACATAGCAAATCATAAAACAAGCCATAAAATCACCTCCTCTGAAATCTCATTTACAAGTCAGATTATATTGCTTTTTCTCTGTGTCTGGGCACATTTTTTTTCCCCTATGTGATATTTTTCTTTCAGGTCACATTCTGCATCATGTGAATATTGGACTGAAGGTCAAACAATGTGTTCACCAGATCCCTTCTGTTACAATGGAGGCATCCATTCAGCCCATCACACGGACTGTCCTTCGAGTAACACTTAGTATCTATCCGGATTTCTCCTGGAACGATCAGGTAGAAGTAGAAATACTTAAATCTGTGTTAAACTAAAATGCCTGTAATCCAGGTTCCGCTATACCTCTGTCCCCAAGGCCTGTAAAA